AGGAACTCGTGCTGCACACTCTATTCTCAGCACTGTCCTTTCTCCGCCTAAGCTTTCAAGAGTGCCACTGAGGTCCAGAAGGGTCTCTGCCCAGCTCCGTATCTGGCTCTTATATTCAGTGAGTCCTCATGCCAGAAACCTGGGAGTCGTCCTGGCTTCCTCACCTCCCTCACCCCACGTTCAATCTATCACCAGTTTCTGTCCACCACTTCTTCATCCACCCATGGCCACTCCCATGCCCCACACTATCTCTTGCCCCAGACTGCAGTTACGTCTCAACCCTGACTCCCTTCTCATATTCCCTCTGCGGCCATTTCCCTCCATCTTCCTTTTAGCTTCTAGAAAAGCCCTGCTTTGATTCTCGTAACAACCCGACGAGGGAACTACCTCATACCTCTCTTGCATCTCCTCTGCAACTCCTGGTCCACGTCACGCCTATGGCTCCCCTTCCATGCAAGAACGGAAGCCGGGCTCCTTAACGCAAGGGTCAAGTCCCTTCGGGGACAGCCCCGTGTCCTCCTGTCCAAACCCAGCCTTTCTGTTGTCCTGTTCTCACGCTCATGCCAGAACACACGCAAGACCACCATGTCCCCTGGCTTCTGGGAATTTGCACATGCTGTTCCTTTTGCCTGGAATCCCCATCTCCTCTGCCTCTTTGGTGAACCGAAGCCTTTCCTAATGCCCTCTTCCCAGCTAGAACGTGCTGGCAGGAGGAGGTCTTTCTCTTGGTGTGAGCACTTCCCACCTCAAGACACATGTTTGTTCACATGCCCATTTTCTCACTTAACAGGCGATCTTGAAACGGAACAGTGTTTATTCATCTTTTTTACCCCCTTCATCAAGCTGAGTGCCCATCTGTACATGTGCACTTACAGTAACTCGGTTAGTCCTCATAACCCTGCAAGTCGGGCCTGTTTTACAGAACAGAAAATGAAGGGCCAGAGAGGCTAGGCAACATGCCCTAGCTCCCACAGGCTAAAAATGGGAGGGGTTGAGATCGGAACCCAAATCCACTTGGTTCTGGATTCTGTGTTGTGCACCATGCACCTGGGCGCTGTGAGGCAAGTGAGTGGCGCCCGACACGCTGCAGGTGTGCAGCAGCAGCTGGACTGGCTCGGAAGCGGGGCCAGAGTCAGAGAGCCCACCTTCTTGGTGCCATAGAGGGTCTCCAGCAGCTTCTCCTGTGCAGACTCAAAGCGCTGGTCCAGGCTTGAGGTTGTCTTCTGCACCAGGTTCCAGATCAGGTAATTGTTCAGGACACTGGCACCCAGACCGAATCATAAGGAAAGGGCAGGTGGGGTACCCCTTCTCCCCCAAAGGAGCTCCAGGAATGTACAGGCAGCAGGAGTCCTGAGAGGCATCTGGGGAAGCCCTCCCGAGTCCTTTCACCCTGGACCCGCCCCGCCTCGCCTATAGAGCAGGTTGGAGCAAGCTGTGAGACCAGAGAGCACGTGGCCTCCTGAAAGCCTGACCCGGAGGAAGAGCCTGGGCGGTCCAGCTCAATGCCTGGCAGGCCCAGGGTCTCATACCCACTGCCCTGCCTGTCAGTGCCAGTGTGCTGTGCCCAGTGCCTGCCAGAGACCCCATCAAGCCGAGTCCAGCCCCTGCACCCAGGGTCCCCCTACCTCGGGTCTGTGCGGTTGATGAGCTCCGACACCTGCTGCAGATAGTCCGTCCCATATACCACCACAGGCTCTGACTCACTCAGCTCCAACGGCGACAGCAAGAAAGACAAGAACTCCAGCCAGTCCATGGAGGGCGCCAGAGCCTGACAGCGGGAGAATTCTCAGGCCCTACCTGCGGCCTGGCGGCCAAAAGGCCCTTCCCCCACGGACATGCAGTGGCCTGGGAGCCCTTCCCGTTGCCATGGCAACAGCTACTGGCTGCTGGTGACTCCTTCCGGCAATAAACCCTTTTCCAGGCTGGAGCGCTCTCCATCTGGGTGTCTGAGCACTTCTTGTACGAGAACGACCGTGTGTGCTCGTCAGCTGAGTCATACACTTTCAAATATCCTCCTAACAGTCGATAGGGTACCACTCCTGACACCTCCCCCACACAGGCACGCCTGGCCTCTCTTCCAGAGCCATCCCTTCCCTAAGCGCTCCCGGACCGACCCTGCAGGGCTGCCTCCTGCTGCCCAGCAGAGGCTTCTGTACCTACTCTAATTGTTCCGTAGACAACCCGTGCACACACCAACATTTAACCCCACCCCCCATGCATCTCCAGGCAACGAGAAAGGGACTGAGGGATGGCCCAGTGAGAGCTGGCCTAATGGGGACACAATTCTTCTTTCTGGGGTAGCAACAGTGTAGCTGGGAGGCTCAAAAAGGCAAGGAAAACAGGAACTGATTGACTGCCTCAGAAAGATGTCACGCAGGGAAGCCAGGGATCCGTGCCAGGGGCTGGCCCTCCCAGGTGTCCCCTGCCCACCCCACCTGCAGCTCCGAGATGCTCATCTTGTGATAGATCTTCTCCTCATCGCGCCGCTGGTCCTGGGGCACCGTGATGTTGGCCAGCTGGGTCTCCAGCTCCAGCACCTGCTGCATCTGCGTGCGGGTGGAGGCCGGCTGTCCCCCCAGCAGCAGCCCCAGCTCCTCCATGTAGTCCAGGTAGGCTGAGAGCACCTGTGAAGGCCGGGCAGTCCTCAGCACCCAGCCTCGAGCACTGCTGGGGCTGAGCGCCTCTGTCCCAGCCGCCTCTCTGTCCCTCCTCTGCTCCACCCTCCTGCGAAGCCTCCCCGGACAGCTCCGTTCCAGTCCCGGCAGTGCTTACCACCATCTCTGCGCGCTATTTTGGGCGCACTTGTTTATCATCTGCTTCCCCAAGGAGACGGGAAGTCCAGCGAGCACTGCTCCAGGTTACGCGGCACTTCTGCCCGGACCCCCAGGGCACAGGGCCCAGCACAGAACCAGTGCTCTAAGGTTCTGTCTGGTGGGTGGGCCTGCTTCCCCCAGCATGCCTAGTTGTCCCAGCCTATCAGTGGTCACGTGCCTTCCCTGAGTGGCTGACCGGACCCCACACAGAATCTGGTCCGTCCTGGCCTCGTGTCCCTTCCACGTCTCATCCTGCCAGGTCTCCAGCTTGCGGCTTTCTCCCCTCCCCTCTGGTCTCCGAGGGCAAGCAAAGCACAGAAAGGAACTGCTTAGTGGCCACGTCTGTATACGTAGGTCAGACTCTGTGGGGGCTTCACACATCACGTACCTTTGCCCTCCCAGCAACTCCGTAAAGTGGATATCAGTCCCATTCTACCCACAAGGAAACAGGCTTGGGCAGGTGAATGTCTTAAGTCGTATCACAGCCAGGCAGAGTCAAAATGTGGCCAGGTCTGATGGCTCTGGGGCTACTTAGCCCTGTACAAAGTTAGCTGCCTCCACCCCTCCTGGGACTTGAGCTCTGGGAGGGCAGGGGCCGTGTGGCTTTGCTCAGTGCTATAGTCTCTGCAGCACGCTGCCACAGAGCAGGTGCTTAATAAATATCTGTTGGATAAAGGGTATGAAAACCTGCTCTGACTTTTAGCCCTGCCAGCACTGACTTCCTGTGGCCCTCTGCCCAGAGACCACTCCCCCTGTTAGCCCTAACCCAGGCCGCTTCAATCACCAAAGACCATCTTCTCCACCTTCTCTCTACTTAGCTGAGGAGTTCTGGATTATTCAGTTCCATCCTCTGTATTGCAAGACTTCCTCCTTTTTATGGGAGAGGTTTTTGCTATAGGGCATGTGCACTCGCCAGAAAGACAGAGAGAGACAGAGAGACAGAAAGCGAGATATTACTCCCCGGGGAGGTGGCCACAATCCCTTCTCCTTTCTCCTCTTGGGATCTTGGGCACACACACACGTGCCTGGCGTGAGTTTAAGCCACCGGGTCCAGGACTCGAACCACGGTCGACTACATGGCAGTCCAGCAACATAGCCATTACGCCAACTGCTGGTCCCAAGATTTCCTCTTTATCCACCTCTCATCTTCCTGCTGCTGGTGTCAGAGGAAAAGCTCAGCGTACCAGCCCCGGTCAGCCTGGCTCCAGAGGAGGTGAGCCCAACCGATGGGCTCACGTTGCCCCCCACCGCCCCCCGCCTGCTGCCCCCCCACCGCCCCCCGCCGCCCACCTCCCTCTCTTGAGCTCAGGACTTGCTTTCGTTTGTTTGTTTTAATTACGAGAGGGCATGTGTGCTCACTGGAGAGACACAGAGACAGAGACAGAGTGGAGAGAAAGCACCCTCCAGTAGGATGTGATGTCAACCCTCTCCATCCCTCCATCCTGTGGGGGCTTGGACATGCACACACATGCACCCAGCACGTGTTTCAAGCTGCTGACTGGGATTCAAACCACTGTCGGTCACACGGGATCCAGCTCCCTCAACCACTGCGCTCTGAGGCCAGCCCAAGACTTCCTTCCGAGACTTTTCTGAACCCGACTGTACTTAGTTTTATCCTGCCTTTACCTCATGAGGCTGCAGCTTTCCCTAGATCGCGCACAGGAGGCTTCCTGCTCAGGGCAACCTATGACGCATGGGCAGCCACACTCAAGGCTTTCTCCCACCCTGTCCCAAGTGCTGGACGACATGTTCTCCCCTGCATCCTCACTGTTCTCTGCTCCCTTACTCCTGCGATATCAGTTCACACATCTTTTCACACCACCTCGGGTTCCCCTGTCTGTCTCTTCCAGGACGCATCCTAAACTTGACCCACATACCTGTCTGGAGGACTGGCCCACCTGCCCCTGCTCCCTCCTCCCACTGCGAATGGGCAGCAGCTGTACCCCTTCCGCCTCGAGGCTCTGCATGAGCCGCCTTTCCAGAATCCTCTCTTCTGGCTGCAGCCTGCCCTCACCCTACAAGGCTGGTTCTGGGCTATACTCACTCCTGGAACCACGGTCCCAACGACTGCTTACAATGGGACGACTGTGCAATGAGACATTTCATGTCTCCTCCCGTACCAGGGGGCAGCGGCAATGCCTTGTCACACCCGCCTGGAGGGGTCCAGCTGAGGAGTACTCGGTAACCACTTGTGAGTGAATGACAGAAGGACAGATGGCTCTCCCTTCGCTGACCCTGTGCTTCCCTCACCCCAGAAACTACGAGGGGCTCCTGTCCTTCCCCTTTCCTCCCCTTTCTCTCCTCTCTCCTCGGCCTTCCTGTAGGGCTCGAAGAGGCTCGAGCCCCCGGCTCCCTTCCAGCCCTCTCCCAGGACGCCCACTGGCTACTCCGTACGGGAGGTGCCCGTGTGCCACAAAAGCATGCATCTAGAACACGCAGCTTCCACAGTCCTCATGTCTGCCACACGCGGGGCATAAACTTGAACTCCCGCCCGAGACACTGCATGCGGTAGACGCCTCTCCTTTCTCTGTGCTATCGCCCTGCCTCCCCCTCCCCGAAGTATCCTAGGCTGTTCTCCTACAGAGACCCCTGGTTCTCTAAGGACCCCCCCCCATTGCACTATCACTCAGGCCTACAGCCTCAGCCATCTTTACCACTTTCTTCTTTATTTTTTACTTATTTAATTTTTTAAAAGAATTATTTTGTTCAACTTTATTTAATGATTTATTTTAATTTGACCAGAGAGGGACAGAGTGAGAGAGAAACTAAAAAAATAAGCTGGCAGGTTCAGGACTTGAACTGCGGGCTGCCTTGTGGGAGTCCAGCACCCTTAACCCCCATGCCACCTGCAAGCCCCTATTTTATTTTTTTAGAGAGAGTTTTGCTGTAAGGCACATGCACAGAGACAAAAAGTGAGAACTCACCCCCCAGGAAGGATGGCCAGGCCAAAATCCCTTCTCCACTCTCCTCTTGGGATCTTGAACACACACATACACACACACACACACACACACACACACACACGTGCCTGGCATGAGTTTTAAGTAGCCAGGTCGGAGACTCGAACTGTAGTTGACTACATGGAAGTCCAGCAACATAACCATTATGCCATCTGCTGGTCCCATACTCTTTTTTTTTTTTTTTTAAGTAGGAAGCCACCCATGCCAATTAGCAAGTACCCTTTTTATTTTTATTTTTAAAGATTCGCTATAGTGGGGCTGGCAGGTGGCCAGGTGGTCAAGGGCGCTGGGCTCCCACATGGCTGACCATAGTTTGAGTCTCAGATCTGGCAGGTTGCCTTCTCACTTTCTCTATCTCTCTCACTCTGGCCCTCTCTGGTCAAATAGAAAGAAAGAAA